CCCCATCGATCGGATTGATTTACGCTTTGATTAGATTTAACCAGCTTAAACTATGTACTCTCTCCTAATTCATGTATTTATGCTTAGTGACTTTTGATTAATTTACCTAGTCAAAATACACCAAGCTAAATTACCTTTCTGATTAGACATTAATCTCCCAAATTACTTACATAGTTTCTTTCATTATAAACATGATGATAGTCATGACGCACCAGTAGTCATTGTGCACGTCATGTGTGACATGTGTGTTTATACTTCTTCTTCTCTTTTTGAGTGGAGAGTAGCTAACACAATTCATACCATGAGTAATTAATAGCTCATATTAAGGGTTTATGGTGCCACATCCTACAATAATCGTGCAAAACATGAACGAACCACTTGGGCAATTTCAAGAAACTGCATGCATTATGCATGAAATGTTTAGAGCCATAAACCCATCAAATAAAATGCTTATAATTTACAAAAAGTTAATGCAAGGTTCTAAAAGGTGGTAGTCAGACAGTGGGCAGGGATCTAGCACTTAGTGGTGGGCAGAGGCCTAGCGGCTAAACGTAGCGGGGGCCTAAGCGTTTTTTTGCTAATTTTAATTAAATTTATTATATAATATATAAATAAATGTCAACTTATATTTAAAAAGGTACATAATTGTATTGAAATACATAAATTGCAACATAGAATGACATATAAATTATTAAGGATTCAAAACATAAGGAACAAGCATATATGACTGTTCATCCAAGTAACCACCAAATCTCTCATACAATTTAATGGAAAATTAAAATGCGAAATGGAAGGTATTTGTTTTATGTCTAAATTAGAGTTGTGACCTAGGCGGATCTATACGGGCTACGCTAGCGCTTAAGCATGTCTAAGAGCCCTTTCTTATTGTATAAATGCCTAGAAATTAATCATGGCGATGGCCAACCGCCTAACACCTAGACGGAGCCTAAACGACGTTAAGCGGGGACTTTTAGAACAATGTCACTCTCAAGCAATAACTTTGGCCCTTGATTTTCCAAGTTTGACCTAATCTCACAAAGTTAATTGAATTGAATTGGTCTCTCTCTTATAATTTCAATTGGTTTATGATGTTTGCTAGCTACAAAAGTTTAATTTTGTTGACTACATAAAAGTTCAGATGTGTTTGTAATTTTGCATCTTTCTTCCTTCTCATCAAGTAGGCGGTGATGCAAGCTCTGTTTTGTTTTTCCTTTCCCACATTGATCCATTTATAAGAAAGATAAATCACAAATTACATAAGGGTGTTTTCTTTGTATGATAGGAAGGTAATTAATAAATAATTATTCACGTTACACACCTAATTAAAGTTTAAACATGTAATTAACATTGCACCTTGCTTCAAGTAGTTGAAAGAGTAGTCTATATTTTGAAAGAGTAGTCTATATTAATCTCTATCGTGGTGGGTGCTTCTGTGCCCATCAAAGAGCAAAGCAACTACCAACTCCCCATTAATGCATGGAGTTGCTGCCGTTTAACTAATACTATCGTATCCGCCAATAAGCTCAACTTAAGTTGGTGTTAACTATGACAGGTTTTCCCACATGTGTACGTGTTAGCCCAAATCAATCTTATTTTGTTTCTTCAATATTTTAATATTGTAAAAGAATAGAGAATTAGATGAAGATCTCAATCAAGTTAGTGTTATCTAAGAAAAGACATGGAGTACTCGGGGTTAATGAAAAACTTGCTGCAAAACAGAGTGCAGTGACATTCTAAGATTCATATAGTCGACCCATTTAGTGAGATAAGACTGTTGTTGAAGTTGTTTGAATATTTTAATCCTCTTTTATCTGTATTCAAGATTTAAAAGTAAGTAAGTTCCTTCGAAAATGAAGTAAAAGTGTTATTTTGGGTATTGCTACGATGTGCTTGACAAGTTGACAACTATTTGGTTTTGAGGAAGACTAGCTAATAGGGTTAATTTTTTATGTTTGACATCTTGGATGTTATATCTCTCAATGTAAATCTAGCTAGACCCATACATGTCAACAATAATATATTGAATTATTAATTTGAATAACCGGTTTTAGCATGCAATGCATTATATGTACAAAAATTTAAAGGCTTGTTTGTAAGTGTTTTTGCAATGATTGAAAGGCTTTTAGAGAAAATATTTTTGGGTTCTAAAAGCATTTGAAGTGCTTTCATGTGCTTCTTGCAAAAAGCATTTTAAGTGTTTTTCTAGGATTCACTTGAATTTTTACTAAGGATTGGTTTCAAAATATTTACACCAAAAGTGATTTCAGGCATTCTAAAAGTACTTTCAAACCAGACTTAAACTTGCTTTTGTATACATATGGTTGAGAAAGTTTGTCCATCACGTAAACACTGTTTATTTTCTTATAGTTGGTAGAGTTTAGCGTGAATCACATATCTCATTTTAGTCCTTCCACCCGTACATTACTTAGTATATATGCAGTTTAATTTTATTGAGAAAATGTGAGAACGCATTATGTATTCTAAATCTTATAATTATTAATTCAAAACTTCTAGGTCCTACTTCTCTTCACTACAAACTTTTACGCGTTATGTTTTGGTTGGTTTTTGGTACTATTTACCTACATTAAAGTAGACAAGATCTATCACTGTTGTATTGAAGACTATACATGGATTGTCCAGCTAACACGATAACCACATGGGCATACCAATAACGTACTTGCCTAAATGATTTTTATATATAAAGTATACTAGTATTTTGCTACACACATGGACGATAACCACATGACCATACCAATACTAGTATTTTGCTACACACATGGACGATAACCACATGACCATACCAATTACGTACTCATCTAAATGATATTTATATATACTAATCTCTTATCATACGCTGACACGTGTGGCAACATACTCTTTTATTTTTGTTTTATTTAAATTTAGAACATGTGATTCAAAATTTTCAAAAAAAAAAAAAAAAATCAACAAAACTACTTCAGTACGTGGAGAAAAGGAAAAACGTGGGATGGGGCATTTACTATTTTTCCATTTTCATTAAATTGTCCATGTCAAGAGTTTTAAGAAATGGACATTCTTAATATATTAAAAGGAAAACTAATGAAAATGGCTTGAAACCTTTGAGTTTTAATGATAAGAACAAAATAAAGGGTAAAATGAATAGTACTAGGTTTGAATTTTTAGTGTAAAAATATGATTTTTTGTTAAAGTTTCGTTAAAACTCCCATTATTAAAAGCTTCATAATATTAAAGTGCTGGCTTTATATAGATAAAAAAAATTATAGTGGATGGGAAAAAAAAAAAAAAAAAAGCTCTCAATTCTCAAACGTTACTTAAATTTTAGATAATGTCCTTTAATTTTGCTAAAATAATTATCAGGAAAATAGCAATGACGAAAGAGGTGGTGACTTACATGAAACTTAATTTATAGCTACGTAATTTTTTTGTTCAATGATATACTGTTGTGTATAGTTTTTTTATATAACAATGTATTATTAAATTTGTACTCTATGTGGCACTAAATTTATTTACGTACGTAACAAAAATATAGACCAAAAATCGAACAAAAAAAATTTCAGAAAATAATATGAAAGTATATTGTTGATCAAGTACTACGAGGAGAGCCGACGAGAGTCGCAGAAAGGCGGAGGATAGAAAAAGGAAGGCTGCCGTGGGTCACGCGTCAGCAGGAACAAGCACGTGATTTTAAGTGCTGCCGACTAGACTACGGTCAAATACCGGTAACACTTGTGCCACGTATTGCCTAATATTCCAAACACTGTCTCCCTAATAAAACTTTGAACAATTGACCACACATGGAAATCATCCGGAAGGGCTTGCATGGGACTAATTTGTCGTCACGTGACGTCGCGTGTTAATAACATAAAAATATGTGGTAGGTTTTTTACATTACACAAAATGTCACTATAACAGTAAATTTATGTCATACAAACTGTTCTCCCGAGCTTTGTAAAATTATCGTTGTACATAAATTTGCCCTACTTTTTTTATTTTTACTTAGAGATATTTATAATGAGCAATAAAATTAGATTGTTGGATTGCATTTTATTTGTGCTAATTACATTTCTAATAGTCCATGAGAATAAAACTACCCGTTTAACTGTACTGCACGTTTTCATCTTCTGTCGTTATATCGAACCGTCAAAATTTTAAATAAAATAAAATAAAATTTGTACCTGGAAGGTCACGTTATTTAAATCTAATCACATATTACTATATGTGATTTTTGTTATTTAAGTGGTATAGTTTACTTAAATATTACGCCAGTAGTATCGTCAAAGGCATGTTTTGCACAATCAATATTTGCACAATCGTCAAAGGCATGTTTTAAATCATTAAGACATTCATTTGTAATAAAAAAAATAAAAAAAAAGGATGAATACGGTTATACAAAGAAACCCTAAACCCTTAATCCAATGATCATATAATTTCAAATTTTGGTGATTTTTGATGTACATAATATTTCTAAAAAATAGACGGTTTGAATCGTTGAAATATAATATAAAAATAGACTCCAAAATGTATGTAAAAAACTATGCAAAAAATGATGCTACGTATCCATCCTCTATATTTATAGTGATCATACTATACGATACTTTAAATTAAGAACTAAGAATTAATCGTATCAATCATGTAACGAGTACTGTATTATCAATTAAAGTTGTCGAGGAATATGATGCCTTCAATATTTGTAACTTTATTCGTATGAATAAACGGGAGTAGCAAAGGACTAACAATGTTTCCGTTTGAGGAGTCACTTTTTGGTCCTCCCAATTGGAAGGTGCTTTGTCAACCTCCTCCATAAAAGTGATAGCTAGCAAAGTCCATTCAAACTTATAGGCTCACTCTTTCTCTCTCCATTATTTTATATATATATATATATATATATATATATATATATTGTATTCTCCAAACCAAACCATATCCAGAGGGAGAAATTTCAAGTCTTGAATCAAAGAGTAGCAGTCCTCCAATCTCCATAGTTTAATTCCCTTGTCTAAACCCATCTTTCTTCCATGTCTGATCATGAACCTAAAGACCTCTACTACCATGACCTATTTCAGTATGAAGCTCATGAACACCTCAATGGTGGGACGGTCAGCATCAACGACCACCAAAATTTGCAAGGGTTTGATGTGAATCCTCCATACATGAACTTCACAGAGTGTTCGAAAGGATCTGTGGACTATAACTCACTTGCCACGGCTTTTGGCTTGTCATCTTCAACATCTGAAGCACTATTTTCATCCGTTGAAGGCAATCAAAACGCTGTTGATCATCTTGGAGGCGGCGGCGGTGAAACTCCTTTGACGCCAAACTCTTCAGTGTCTTCTTCTTCAGCTGAGGCTGATGCTGATAAGGACTGTGGTAAGAATAAGAAAGATAGGCAGCCAAAAGGGTCATCAGAAGATGGAGATAGCTCTAAGAAAGTGTAAGTTTGAACTGAATACATATTAATACTGTCTTAGGTTGCAAGGAGGTTTGTACCTCAGTTGGTTAAGAGTAATTCTTCTTTCATTTGAGGTCCTGAGTTTGAATCTCCCCTATCGCTCGTATCAATTAAAAAAAATTAGTCTGGGTAATTAATGACATGCACATATACCTGATCTGATCATGTTTGATATATTTGATGACCATACAGGAGCAAACCAGCAAAAAAGAAGGGAGAGAAAAAGCAAAAAGAGCCACGATTTGCCTTCATGACCAAGAGTGAGGTTGATCATCTAGAAGATGGATACAGATGGAGAAAATATGGACAAAAAGCTGTGAAAAATAGTCCATTTCCAAGGTAATTAATGGATATATAATGTTTTAATTCCTAGCTATTTCTTTGTTTGCACTTGAAAGAACCCACCAAGAAAAACCCTTAAACAGGAAAAATAAGCAATATATTCGAAAGTTGATTAGTTTGTTTCATTCATGTGCTATAGTTTTCAAGGATTTAATTTATTTTTTAAATTTTACTCCACCAAACTGTGCCAAAAAGTCATGCAAAAGACATACTAATCACTAAAACCAAAGGTTGACTAATTTGTTATATATGATCCCAAATATTAGTCCTATATACTAATATATCTCGCAAATTGTGTATTGGGTAATGAAGCTAAATTAAATCAAGAAGAACCCTTTTAATCAATTAATCCGCCATTTCTTAATTTGTTTGGTAGTAAAACTGAAAAAAGTTTTTTGACAAAAAAGCCTAACAAATTAAGTTTGATTTGAGCACGACTCTCTAATTATATATGTACTGCGGTTCTCCATTGTAGAAGCTACTACCGATGCACGACACAAAAATGCGGGGTCAAGAAACGCGTAGAGAGGTCGTACGAGGACCCATCTACTGTGATTACGACATATGAAGGCCAGCACAACCACCAACTTCCAGCAAACCTAAGAGGAAATGCGGCTGCAGCATTGTTCCCACCTTCTATGCTAAACCTGTCGAACTTGGCTGCTGGTGGCCCGAGCTCTACCTTTCCTCAGGAACTCTTGTTTCAAATGCCCCAATACATGATCAGTAGCAATGTTAATCAGGGATCGTCACGAAACCCTAATCATCATCTGCAGCAATATCAACTGCCTCATGCAGCTGCTGATCAGTATGGACTTTTGCAGGACTTTGCTCCTTCCATGTTCCTCAAACAAGAGCCTTGAATGATCTCCCTCTCGATCGATCTCTAGGTCGTTAATTTGTAGATACGATTAATTATTATATATACTAGCTAGTCTCATGACCTTGATTGATCATCCTTGATATTTTTAATTAGTGGGCTAGCTAGGTAGCAGATACTACGTACCCTTCACTTCTAATCATTTGAATTCCACTTAGATTTATGAGCCGGAAATTACTGATAGCTTTAGCAGTAGAGCACTTATCCTACACACTTATCGTCAAAGAGAAAGTTCGGTTCTTTCTCCGATCTCTCGGTGTGTAAGATTAATTTGGACTGTCCTTGTACAAATTAGTCCATTGAAGATGGCATCATCCAGAAGTGGGAATTTTTTTCTCCTCGGTCTTCCATTTGGAGATAATTTGCTAGCTCGAACTGCTTCTATCTAGTTGAAGTTAAGTGGATTTGTAAGATGTTGAGTTTATTTACTGTGGTTCGAACGTAGTGCATGCGAATTGAGAATTGCATGCTTCATGCTTGCATGTCTTAGTACAAGTGGTGCAACAAGATTTTCTTATTTACGGTTTAAGATGTAAAATCCTTGCTGTGCAGCCTTACTTTCATGCAGCAGGGTGGGATTTTTATTGAGTTGAATATATTCTAGTTTTCTGTTTGTTTCTGTATAACTTGGTGAATAATTTCTTTATAAGCAATTCCAACAAATAATTTATTCTCGTAGTACATACGGTGTTCACGGTTCACATGATCATGCATGTCAAACATGATTAATTGAATCGGATCAGCGTTAACCATTTTGGCGCTTGTGAGTGAAACTATGTTAAGATGAATGTTTTTAATACTTGCATCTGTATGTGATGATGCACATATCCTTCTATCTGCGAATAACGTTTACTTTGATCAAATAAAATAACGATCGAAACCGTTCAATTTATTAATCTTCAGTTGAAGATCACTGATACAAAAATGATCATTCAAATTCGAGATTTTTTAATCATCCAAACATATCAAACAGATGGATGGTTCATCATGAATATATTATTTGATACCTACCTCTCGATTTTCTCATACATTTGAATGACTAAATGATTTCTGATTTTTGTAAGGATGATTGTCAAATGAAGATAAAAAAAATTGAATGAGTCCGATTATGAAATTTGTACAGTTAAGACATGTTTTTCGTAAGGGGAATGAGCTCCTTCCCCAAAGGAGGAATGTAAGTATTATCCCTTTTTGTATGTAAGTGACAGAGATTCTCATTCAAACGAAGAAAAAAACAGTACAAAAGTGAAGGCCATGAAAGCCAAAGCTACTTGTTATCAATTAACCATTGATTAGTTTAATGCATATGAATGGCTAAACGGTCTCCAAATAGAATGATTTAATTCTTATATATTTTTACCCCATATACGATCTTTACATGATAATAAAGAGAATGAACAGTTTAAATTATAATGTTTGTATAATGAAGATACGTTAATCATAAATGAGGGGACAAATAGGTTCCCATAAATGAAACACAGGCATTATCCTATTACTAATATGATAAATATGATCATATATATATAATGTCAGGATGGGTCAGGAACTGCGAGAGAGATTTTTTATTTATTTTTTGAAATTTTGTGGTCAGTCTTCGAATGGTCATTGAGTTGATTTGCTACAAAGAGTGAAAGAAAATAGATCTATTCGTGCCATAAGGAATGGGCCTATAAGGTTTTAAACCGTTGTGAAATTCACTTGTGTTTCAGCCTTAGGGTGGTGGTGGTGTTAATTTTCCTCCATCAAGTAATTGTTAGCACTATTTTCCAAACTGAACCATCACGATGAACAAACTTCTTCAACTTGTACTTGAAATTAATATATTTCACACGTTCAATTAGCATATACACATGTAAACCTTTCGTATATGATGGTCTGAGACCAGTGCATCCACTGATTGATACGATATTGGAAATGGAGAATCGGACTCAATATCTCAAGAACATAAATGAATGTTTTTAACTAACTAGGTCACAAACCTCATGCTCAGTTGGTTTAGGCAATCCTACTTTTAAGTCAAACAAATGTGTGTGTGTGTGTAGCTGCAAACTGCATTGGCTATGATTGAATTCAATCTAGTTTGAGCATGATCGGAAACGTAGATGATTAGTCTTTTCCCGATCCAGCCAGCAAAAGAGGACATTAATCCCAGAGAAAACCTTGCAGGAAGTTAAAATACAAAGATTTAAAGCTGGGCGAGCATACCTTTGATTTTACATGCATACCATATAATCATATAAAATGTTTGAATCAATATATAACAAGCACTTTTGTTGGAAAAAAAAATAAAAATACATGCACTGATGCACCTCATGCAAAATATTGTTTATTTCTTAATTTTTTGATTTAATAAATAAATATAACTTTATAAGATATAGTTTATTTAATATTGTGGCGATGTGAAAGTAAAGGAGTTTCACATCGATAAAAAAAAGAACTTTGCAAGGGCTTATAAAAGGTCGGGCTGCTCCATATATTGCCAATTGATTTTAATAATGGAACTTCAACTTTTTTCATGGTATCATAGTAGGTTGACCTACGTGTGAAGCCTAACGGCTACACATGCTCCACGTCACCCAATTCGTGTTGTCCACGTGTTTAGCTTGAAAATTCGTCACACGTGAGGGAGTGTGTGAGGATGTGAAGGTAAAAGAATCCTACATTAGTGAAAGGAGAAACCTAGCCAACTTTCTTCCAATATAGACTATATAATTTATATCATTTTGCATGGATCACCTAACAGCATCTCCAAAGAAGAAGTCAAAATATTCACATCAACAATAACAGTAAAAAAAGGCAGCATTAGTGTTTTCCAACTGTAATGCCAAATCTTATGTTGCATGATGTGAATTGCTATCAAATTCAAAATTTATTTTTAGTGATTAGTAAATGTTTTTTTTTATCACCTTTTTAATTATTATTGTTCTAAAAATACTTTTGCAATTATGAAGAGTAAACAATGTAATGATCTTCGGTTTAAATTTGAGAATAATTTTTTTCAAAAAAAATCAAAGTGGCACATAAGCTTATAAATTTAAATATTATGTTTAAAATTTGACATCTCATTTGGAGATGCTCTAACAAATAAAAAAAATGTTTGGTATATAAAGGTGCATGATCCAGAGGGACCTCTGCCGGGAGCAATCATCACCATGTAATTAGCACTTAATTAGTAATTATTTAATGTTTGATAGCACAAAACCTAAACGGAGATCAGTATATGCCACCTTAAACTTAATTATTTAATGTTTGATTAGCACAGATCTAGTTGCTGGATTTAGACGGCCAATTTTACATATCTGACAAAAAATACTAATGTATAGATTGGCATCGTTGTGCTCATAAAATAAAGAAAGTTTATTCTTGACGTTTACTACAAAGAAAGTAATGATATGTTTACATATAAAATGGAATTGAACCGCATCCGGATTTACTTTGTAGGAATTCTCACGTTTTAATCATTCATTGTGTATTATGCTGTCAGAAGAGCAGTTAACTTTTTTTTATTAAAAATCAAACACAAATAGTATCTGACGAAAACTGACCACAAGATGTACGATGAACAGTTAAGATATGAGGATCCTTAAGATCCCCACAAAGTGGATCCCTAAAATCCCCACAAAGTGGATCCGAAAATGATCCTCTTCCATCTAAAATAGGTATGAGAGGAAACGAAATTATTTCGATTTCTAACTTCTTCACGTTTACTAACACATAAAAAATCAAAATTTATATGAATCACATTCTAAAATTTATAATTAAATACACGTAAAACCAAAAATTAGATCAATCAGAAGAGCATTTGATCTCATGCTCATTCATTGAGAGTTTTAACGAAAAACCCACGGTACTGTTCACTTTAACGAAAAATCACATTTTTACACTAAAAAGTCAATATTGGTACTATTCACTTTACCCTTTATTTTGTCCTTATCATTAAAACTCAAAGTTTTCAAGTCATTTTCATTAGTTTTCCTCATTCTTTATTCTCTCAAGTTCATTTTTTGTTTTTCTTGCCGTATTCCTAGTAAGAGAAATGCTAATTCTTTATTTGTGATAATGAGACTTTTTCAAAAGTGAGATTCTTCACGTACTTCATTTCACTATTTAACATCAATTTTCATGCTAATATTATAAAATAAATATAAGATGACAGAAAGTACATAAAGAGTCAAGTTACTTAACATTTATCTGTTCAAATTTCTGTTAGGAAATCTAGTCAATGATGAGGTCAAAGATTAGTAGTTATTGAACATGAAATAATTGTCTTAATTAGGTTAATCCTAAACATTAAACAAATCGCAATTATCACCTAATAATTAAATTACCAACTTAATTACGTTTTAATTATGTTAAGAAAACAAAAGGCCAACTAAACCACAACAACCCACCACCACCACCACCAACCGCTTGGGGAAAAACATACTTCACTGGAGAGGGACGTTCCTTCCGACATTTTCCCTATTCTTCAAGCAACAGCCTAAAACGACAGCGTCTTCTTCTTCTTCATCCTCGATCTTCAGCTAGGGTTTTCATATTTATCCCTAATGTTCGATAGAGTAGTCAGTCTCTGAACTTCCTTCGACTAGGTACTTTTCTCTGCGTCGATCTACGCTTCGTATTTCCCATTCCTGCTACTGTTTTTTTTGTTGAATTTCGATTTGGGTTTTTCAGTTCGGAGCCTGATTTGGGGATTTTGAAAATGGTGGACGCGGGGCCAGTTACGCCTGGACAGGTAGCAAAGACTGTTAATTTGTTTTATGTGATTTGATCTTCTGCTGATTTGATTGAATTCCTAGACTTTTTCATTTTCTTAGTTTGATTTGTAGTTGTTCAATTCTGATGAAGATCTGTGAATGTGTAGGAAGTACTGGTTTTTAATTTTTGTTGAACAATAAGAAATTGCTTTGTTTTTTAAGTTCTTGATCCGAAGAAAGTTGCGTGATTTTGTAATGGAATTGCCTTTTGTAGTGGCTGGTTGGGTTATAGTAGCTCATAGAAAGGAAGCCCTATTTGGAGTAGTAAATCTTGTATCTTGGTAACAAAGAAAATGCAACATTGTACAACGATGGCTCTGTTCAACTAATCCTTAATATTTTATTTTCTACCCAAGTAGATCAAGGATCTTGTTTTTATTCTAGTAATATCATAACCAAGAGACTTGCATTTCTGTTGGTGCATGGGAAACGCAATGCCTCAATGTGTTTGGACTTTTGTGCAATTCTAAATGCTTGACATGCAATCAAACTAGCTACACTTTTGAGCCTGTGTTAAATAGATCTGTCTCAAACGTTATGAAAGATCTTGTTTTGGTATCAATAATGTAAGAACTAAATGAATGAGCAAATTTATTGAAGCTTTCTATATCATTCCCCAGGTGTCGTTTTTGCTTGGAATCATCCCCGTTTTTGTCACATGGATATATTCAGAGTACTTGGAGTATAAAAAATCTTCATCTCATCCTAAAGTGTGAGTTCCTTACCTTCAAAGTGGCAATATGAATTGGTCTTTTGTTTTAATGGCATCAACTTACATGCTTCCACTTACCTTTTATTGAAATATGAAATATGTAGTTAAATATTTCATTTATATTCTATTCTGTTAGCTGATACA